ATATATATATATATATACTTTGTGATTAAATTTCTATTTATTTGTAGTTTTATATATATATATAAAAATTTATTTTATGGATGAAATTTCGCTTTCTTGTACATTTATAGAGTATAGAAATAAGAACGTTACATAGTATAATATATCTCATAAAAATATAGCATGAAATATTTTACAGGTCCTTTATCTAGTATCCTGTCGACCAAGTATTCCTACAAAACGGTAACTCTCATCGGTGGCACCTTTGCGGCCAGCGGGATGATGCTGAGCTACTTTGCCAATTCAGTTACTTATCTTTACGTTAGGTATGATTTTTTTTGTCGATTGACGTTCAAGAGGCATCGCAAGTGAATAGGCAAACATAACTGTTAACAGTTTTGATTTTAATAACCACTGTGACGAAACTTTGCCGAAATGTTGTGTAACAAAGCCGGTTGTTGAAGCACTTAAGACGAAAGGACTGCTTGATTTACGTGCATTACACAACTTCTGCGAACTGATAAAATCCGTTCTGCGTAATATTTAGAGTAAACATATAATATAATATATGCTAAAACGCTACGCTGAAACTTTCTTGCATTACAAGATTTATATTATTAAAATTTCTATAAAACTTGTTATAAACTTTTATAAAATGACTTATTCTTTTTTTATAGTTATGGACTTATGGTCGGAATTGGGGCTGGATTATCATTCCCACCGACAGTTTATATCGTTACGCAATACTTTGAGAAGCTACGGGGGGTGGCGAACGGTCTATGCATTTCCGGTAGCGCCATCGGCACTATAGTGCTACCACCGTTACTGCAATATCTTTTGGACTGCTTCGGATACAGGTAATTTACTAAGAAATTCTATAGCTCTGATAATGTCTACTTAAGAGAACATAGAGGAGCTATTGTTAGAAAAACAAATGTCGATTATTCAGATGTTCCTCTCGGCTCCGGTTCGAGAACAAGATATCTATTCTACCGAGACCGCTTCCACAAAAGACTTTATACATAGTTCCAACTGCTTTCGGGGGATCGGAAAGTAGAAGTGCACTTCGAAGCGGCTTGGGAAGCCACACGACACAAAACCTTTCGCAAATCTTCGTCGAAACCTTCGTTCCAAGAAAGGTCTTGCAGACATCGAATGATGAAGCCTCGTCACAATTCGGAAATTCTAATTCCTCCAGTATTCTATGCGTTCAATAATAGAGACAGAACTATATCCATACTGTACTGTATGAAAAATCGCAGTTACGATACTTTCCTAATTAACGTCCTCGAGAACAAATAACATATCTAGAAAGCATTAATAAAACCATGAGTCTAAAGACTTAAATGTAAATGAAATATTGCAAGCAACCCAAATTTGAAATTTTATCCAAACCATTTCTTTCTCGCCCTTAAGAATAAAGCTGGATGCATACCTTACTTAAATCAGGTTTCATTGTCACATTTCAGAGGAGCTGTACTCATCATGGGTGCGATCACGTTGAACACGTTGGTTTGCGGTCTTCTGTATCATCCGGTTGAACAGCACATGAAAATCGTACCTCTGGACGAGGGTATCGATAACGAAGCGTTGTTTCTCGATGAACCTATCGGCGGAAAAGAAGAGTCTGCTGAAAAAACGGGAGAAGATGTTAAACTCAATGATGATAAAGCGATGTGTAAATTTTCGGATCTTTCGCACAACATAGAATCGACCAGCGAGAAGGTATTCTACGAGTCTGAAAAAGAGGATTATAAAAACGATACAGTTTTGAGATTTCGATCCGACGTTGTTAAGGACGAGGACTCGCGTCGGGAGGAGACTCCGCAGAAGAATATTTCGCATGTGAATGAATTTTGCATGACGATCCGTCCGAATCCTACGAGGGAAGATGGCGATGTTTTGAATAACGATACGCAGAATTTATCGCGGCGAGGTAGCGTTGTTACGGAGGAAAATAATAAGTCGCAGTTGAACTTCTCGAAAGTTGCGAAAAATCTGAAAGAAGATAGTAAGATACGCGTCGAGGAATCTAGACAGAGTGACGTGCGATCGAAATCAATCAAGACATCAGAGAAACATGAAGTTAAATCCAAGAAAGCGCCCTTTTTCGATCTAAGCGTGCTGAGAGATCCCATTTACTTGGTGATCCTCATCTCCAACTCCACATCAGCCATCAGCAATACAAATTTCATGATTCTATTACCGTCTTATGCGATCGCCGAAGGCTTTGATAAGAATTCGTCAGCTCTGCTTCTCTCCATAGTTTCGGCGTTGGATTTGATCGGCAGGATCAGCGGTGCATCCTTATCTGACATCGATTTTGTACCCAAGTATTATTATTTCGTGGGTGGACTCGGCACTAGCGGGATCGCTTTGGCGTTGCTACCGATGGCAACCAGTTACACTATGCTGTCATTCTTCTGCGGTCTTTTTGGTCTATCATCGGGCATGTACATCGGTATCACGACGGTTATTCTCGCGGACATGTTGGGAACGGAGAAGCTCAGCTCATCTTATGGAATATCACTGTTCGTTAATGGCGTATTACAGCTCGTCGGACCGCCGGTTTGCGGGGTCATTTTTGAGAATGTGTTGTCTTATAAGCCGATCTTCTTAGCCTTCGGAATCATTTTGATTTTGGGCACCGCACTCTGGGCGGTAGTGCCACTCATTAAAAGAAACAATAAGAAAGATGTAGAAGCGATATAAGTAAAATGATATAGGATGTGGCATCTCGAAGATTTTCTAATGAATCGATTTAAGTGAGTGTCTTATAAAAGACTCTACATATTACAATTACGATGGTTTCTTTCTTACGATGGATCTTGTGATCTGAGAAGAGATCCGATAACATTCTTAGGTACTTTTAAACTATAAAGCAACAAATACTTGAATTGTTGTACATTTCTAGGAGAATTTAACATTTATATTTTACAAGATATTTGTGGTCTAGAAAAAATTTGAGAAAACTCGTAAAATTATCTAATATTAAACATATCGAGCTTTAAATTCATAAATCCAGCACGACCGTGTATCTGCACAGCTATCTGCACAGCAGACATTTATTATCACGACAAATATTTTTCGCAATTCGTGCCATTATTGCATTACTAGATTACTATATAAATTGTTATGTAATGAAGGCTTGTATAAATTGCATGGCTGTCATTGAAGACATAACTTTTTGTACTTTCGTGTTGGTGATTAATTTTTGTGAATATTTGTTCGCAAATATTCATTAATAGAATATATTACGTGTACTAGTAATAAATTTTATACTATCCTCAAAAATGAATATTTTGTATAAAATATGCGACAATGCGATATTAACATTTTAATAATATTAATGAGTATCTTCTGATTTCTACGAGTCTTTCTGGAACGTGCATATCAAACAATTATTGCTCGACAGTCTACATTATTAACATAAGCTTATTTTAAAAAATAATTTTTACTGCCAGTAACAAAGTAATATTATTGAGAATTATCTATAAATTTACAAATAAGTATTGAAAATATTAGATGTTGACATAGATTAAGAACATACATGTACGTACAGGAGTTCCATTAGACGACTTTGTGCCAAAGTGATCAGGAAAGTTTCTAGTACTTGAATCATGTTAACATTCAGTTAGAGACATTTAGTTATTCAATCATACAGTGGCAATAAATATTTGATTATACTAAATGTTGAATAGTCGGACATGTGTAATGATATATAATATAAATATATAATATAGATCAAGATATAGATGAAGATTATATCGATATAAATCTTTTTAAATATTTTATACGAATTTCAATTAACGTTTCTCCTTTCGTCTTTTCTTTTTTATTCTTTTTATTCGCATTGTTTAAATTGAAATGAGGTAATAACTGAAAATAATTTCAGAAAAAATTGAAGATGTCGGTGCCGTAAGCATACAGAAAAATAGAAGAGATATTTTAACTAGAATAAATAAATAATAAATGTCTTTTCTTTATTTGATTTTATTGATAATTCTTAGTTTTTTTAATTTAATTCTGTGATTTTTTTGATACAAGTTTTGCATCTGTCGAATGCGAATATAAAGGTATATTAATTTGAAGAAAAATAAAAGGACAATAGATGATAGTAAGTTTTTATAAGTTTAAATTTTGATTAATGTTGCATAGAACTGTATGCAAAATATATTTCTGTACATGTCTGTGCGTGTCTGTTGCTCAATTCTCTTGAAGATACATAAGATACATAATCCCTATCTGTATTAATTGTACAATTAATTTATTGCATGATTTATATTATTCTAATACTCCTCTAATTCCTCGATTTAATTGATTTTATATATCTAATCTCATGAATTGAGAAAACGCATTATTTACACGCATTATTTCTACTAATTAAAAATTGCCCAAAAGTATGCTGCAATATTAAATGTTTTGATAATAAAATAAGCGTGTATGGATATATATTACGAAAATACTATTTCCGATATATTTTATCTCGGCTATATCTTTAGAACTTTAAATAATTTTTTGTTAGCAAAATTTAATATGTTATCTTTTTCTAAATTTTTGGATCTTTAAATCATTTATATAAATGATATTTGAAATAAAAATTATAAAAAAAGTGTATAATTTAAAATTAATAATGAGAAATTATAATGATAAAGTCATAAATAATAAAATAAAATATTGGACAAATGCAAGAATTGATATGTAATCAATCCTTTATTGTAATAGATTCGAAAATCATGCGATTTCTTGATAAGATTTTAAGCAATTTATGATTATCGTATATTATTGGTATAAAGTATTTAATTACATTTAATTTTCGATAACGTAAGATAAAACTAAATAGAAAGCACTTTTTTAGATCTTCTACTTTTCTTGTCAGCTTTGTGCAGTTTTGATAGAGACAAAAGAAAATAGAATTATAATAAGTAGAGATGTACAATATTATTAAGAAGCATTAGAAAGTGGCAGGTTACGAAGTTGCTGTGTCTCTTCGTCCTGTGAAGGAGACGATAGAACGAATGCCTTTTACAGAAGTCTGAAATGTTAGAAACAAAAGCTCTTGTTAATCCTGTGATTTAAATGACAACAATAATAGATTTCAAATTCTTGTAATGATTTTATGAAGTGTACCTTTTTCTTGGATCCATTAAGAAAGTCTTTATACATTTCCGAGCGTAAATATCTCGAATAACTGTCGCTCTTCATCAGGTGATATACATGAGCCTAAAAGAAAATAATAATAATTAAAATATAAAATGTAAAGTGATAAGATAGTATATGTCTTATATGTCTTACTCTGTATGTGTGTGTGTGTATATATATACATATTAATTTATGGAAAACGGATCAACTCAGTCGCTTAGTAGTATTCATTTTGAACAATTTGTTCCGAATAATTTTCTGTTCCTCATCTTTGATCAAAATAGATAGAAGTTTAATAATTATTCTAAATTTTTATTTTTGCAATTAGTTTGACTCTTTTATATATAATATAATTAAATAATTAATATAAATTAAATTTGTACCGCAGCAACGTCGAAACACCATTGGTCCGGCTTTTCAAGATGTTTTTTGGTAATTTCATAAGATCGAGAATCGACGTTAATGGGACAGCTCGCGTCCGTGTCCAAGAATTCACGCCATATCTCTTCGACTTTTATCTGGACGTCTTTCTGCGGTAAAGTTTTCAATTCCTGAACGGTTTCCCAAAATCTGCACATATCATAAATGATCTCGTCTCCCTGATGCAAATTCAATATCGTATTATATGTGTAGATATAAATCAAAGTTTATAAATACAAATAGAAAAAAAATCTAACGAAAAACAAACTTAAGAGACAATAGAGTTGCTATACGTACTTGAGATTTTCACCGCTAAATTCCTTATCTAAAAAGCGTATAAATTGTTCTCTACCAACGGGATCTTGTAGGAGTTCTTGAAGGCTGAACGCCCATCTCCTTACTCTTCTCGTGGATATTTCTTTCCTACACATCCGTAAATATACGCACATACACATAATATTTATTGTAACGTATAATCAGTCAAAGTTTGTCGAACAACTTTTTTTGTTTTTATCGTGATATTATTATACTTACGCTAATTTTTCCTGCTCCCACATTTCTGGGCTATCGGATATCCATGGATTTGTGAGCTCGGGTTGGGTGAAAAAGGGATCGTATTCCATGTATTGTTCAAAGTATCCAATCAATCTAAAAATATCGCATATTGATTAGCCTATAAATGCATTTAACATATGCATTTAACATATGCATTTAATGAAATTTAAATATAACATTATCAAACACACTATATAAACACACTTTAACTCGATTTGTTAAATCTCGATGTTAGCTTTAACATACGTTTGCAATATACATATTTGGAAACATAATACAAATATATATATGTATCCTTTAATTTATTTTGATAAAACAGATAATTCTATTGACATACGCTTCGGCTACTTTCGAGACCTTGATGACAGGCTTGTCCAGTCTATCTTTGAGAGTCTCGATCTCCTTCTGCAAAAATTCTATCGATGAGGTCGCACTCGATTCTACAGATGGTGATATTTTACCACCCGCGACTCCCAGATGCAAATGCTTACTTGGTTGTATGACAGATTTGTAACTACGACAAGCTTTCTTAATATCCAATTCCGTGGTATTTACACATCCAGGCTGAAATGTAATTTAATTATGAGAATTGATATTCCTTCGATAAAAATATTCCTTTTTCGATGTTTGATCAGCAAGAAAATATATATGTAGTTTATTATTCTAAAAATGTATTATTAAAAACCGTACCATTGGCCGATGTACATCCCAGAAGGCTCTCTCTTGGCTATCCAGGACTTTTCTTTCCAACTTATCTCTCTTCTTGTCGACTTTGCTTTGTGCTTCCGCCTGCATAAAAATAAATTCCCATTTTCGCGAAAACATCTTTTGCAATCTAGCCAGGTTCTCTGCCTCGTAGTCCGCCAATTCCAAGCGCGTTTTGTTCTGCATCGTCCTTTTGCATAAATAGACAGCTGTAACATTTAACGTAGTACGCACCAACGGGTGTATCATAATACAATTACGAAAAGAATAAGTATATATAAAATTAGATATAAACTGATAAAATCAAGATTTTAATAAGAAAGCATTACTTCTTAATCAATTTATTTTTAAACAGAATAAATAAATAACTTGCCAATTTTTATATTTATTGAATTTGTTTTCATCATTAATTATTACATGTATGAAATAAATGACAGATCACATTAACAATATAATATTACATAATATTAAATATCAATATTCTTTTATACCATAATCAGTATTTTCGGGTTCCCAACAATTCGATGGCCAGAAATACGGTGTTTGAAACCTGTAGAATGTGTTGTCATTCTTTACGGTAAGGCAGTGGTCGTCGATAGGAAAAAAATATCCGTGAGATGCCATAAGATGAGCCACATGAAGAGCCTCTGAATATAAAAATGTATTACGCGCTTCATTATACAGATTATACCATGTTATTTGCAAATAAAAATTAAAATTTAATCGGAAAACTAAATATCCTTACCTTGATCATCTATATCCATGCTCTTCATCATCCATGCTATGAGATCTGTACCTAAAATATAAATTATATATGATTATCATTTATTATGATTATAATTTCCAATTAAAATCGCTAATATTAACTTATACTTTGAAAAAAGCTTGCATAAGGAAATTATATTTTCATTTTAATTTTATTTTATTGTAAATTTATAATAAAAAGTTATGCTTATGACATCCTGTGTTTTTGCTTCTACCTGTAAAAACAGACGGCGTCTTCGTCATGAAAGTCTTAACTGTTTTTACGGGTACACCGGTAAATTCATCCAACATCTTTTCTACAATCGATTCCATCTAAAAGAATAGTACAATTTTTATTTTATGTAAAAGAGCGATATCCGAAAATTAACGTAAGCAATGAACAAAATGTCAACAAAAATTATTCAAAAAATGATTATTCAAGAAATAATAATAAGTTGAGAATAATTTAAATTGTGCTAAAGTCAAATAGATATTTTTTCAAGACAAATTTCATTAATATTGAATTCTTCCAATTTGTTTCTTGATATATTTAATGCACTGTTTCTATCGCTCGCATAACATTTTTCATTCGTGACAATACCTTTTTGTAGACAAGGTAATTAGGGGTATCTTCGGCGCAAGAGGCAGTGACGTTATATGTGGGAGTGTTGGGAGATAAATCCGGGGAATCATTCGCGTGAGCATCCTCATCCTTTTTATCTACTTCTTCGATATGCTCGGTCGTTTTCTTGCTGCTGCTGCTGCTACTTTTCTCTACAGGTTTTCGGCGACATGCCGATTTTTCGGAGTTCATAGTTACCATATCCACTCTAAGTGAGATACAACGTTCCTATACAACGTTGATTTCAAAGTTAAAAGCGTTGCAATAAATAGAATTAAGTAGAATAAGTAGAATTCTGAATAATTGAAGTGTAAATCGTTATCACGATATCTGATAATTTTCATCAAGTTTTTTATTTTACGCTAAATTTAACAATTTTTTTTTAGATTAACAATATATCAAATATGGTGTGTAGTAACGTATCGTTTGTGGAATATATTGATATCGTATATAAAATTCTCGATGTACCCTTAATATATATATATATATATATATTCTTGCGCAATTTTTCTCGCGTGAGTAAAATTTCCACGACATCGATCCCAGCGACCAATTATCTAATTAACGATATAAAGCTTGTTTCGTAAACCTGATGCGAACTTATTTTAGTTATTCATCACGTTCCCCAATTCTTTAGTTGACTTTTTCTCCACCATATATGTCAGAAGATTGATAAAGTTGTTGAATTGTAAAATGGTGTTATCCAAGATTGGCACATGAGACAGTATCTATCAATGTAGTCCTTTTCACACATTTCATCCCTTCTTGCTACCATCGGATACTCGGGAGAGTGTGGTTGTGAAGGGGATATTGGTAAGATATTGTCTCTCATACGTCAATCTTATAGACAACATCGGATAGAAGAGCGCAGAAAAGGAAAGAGTGAAAAGCACAATGCGCACAAGCTACGCTTCATTATTATACGGATTATTAATACCGGTTAATTAAAAATTATGATCATCCACAAAATAAAAGTATTAATCAAAAAAAAAAAAAACAAAATAATACTGAGATCGATACTTTTCTATATTCAGCTCGTAGACCTACCTCAATTGTAACACTTTGATCCAATCTGTTCTTAAATTGCGTGAAATTCACGCGCTGCCTAGCACAAAACCTATCGATGCATCGTCCCTCATCGTATTCATAAACACCGTCAATTTATACGAGACATATTTCTCAAAAAATTCTTTATTTTTTTTTCGCTTGAAACACGACGACAGCGATATCAAAATAATCTCAAAAATATCTCGAGTTTATAGCATTTTCTCGACAGCGAGTCGAAAAGACAAGTGTCGCGCCGACAACTCTTTCACTGTGCATCACACAACACGAAGCACCCTCTTCGGAGAACAATAAACAATCGTCAGATTTGTAACCAAGACTGATCGAAGAAACTCCTAGGTGAATCTAATCAAATACAAGTTATACAAGTTCATATCTCTTTGCACTTCATAAAGAAGCAAAGCCTCAAACGCGAACTAATTATCGACTTCCACATCCTCGATATAAACACAGAGAGGGATAGAAACGAGGGAAAGAGCAGTCGCATTTACGATCTAATCGCACCTCTCGATGGTTCGCGTGTTGACCCATGCGAAGAACAGGTCAAGATAGTAGGGGATGAAGGCGTGCGCGCGCCCCTTTCATGTTCTACGCAGCGGCTCGAGTTTTCTAAGGGGATACGTTAGATTGACTGTCCTTACGCCGGAGCTGCAAGTGCGCAGGTTTCGAATGTCGTTTTGGTCTCGTGCCAGGGTGAGGATCGAAATCCCGTGGTTGAACGGCGCCGGGAACAACTAGTCGATAAACGAGACGCGACTGCGTTCCGCGCCGAAGCACAACGTTCTACTGAAGGCGCAAATACTCGATTTTCAGCTTCTACCTTTAATTTGGAAACACATATTTTACATTTTCAAAGCCAACAACATATATAAACAAATTAATTGAAATTTATAGATGCAACTTCCTTATCGATTATAGTCTCCTGATACTTTGTCGATTTTTCAAGTTTTTAAATTTTAAAATTCTTGAAACCGCGATTCTCGGAAATTGCAGAAAATTCTCGGAATCAAAGATAACGCTATCTCCTTGTCAATTATGTTCTCCTGGTATCATTTCGATTTTCAAAATTTAGAATTTTTGTAGGAATCATGATTCTTGGAAATCATAAAAAATTTTCAGAAAATGTGTATATAGCCTTATTGCTTATGTTTTCATTACATTATATCAATTTTATTAGTTTAGAATATGACGATAGAGTGTGAAGAATATTTAAAAAAACAAATATTTTAGCATATTTTATAATAAATATATATATATATATATATATACACACATACACTCCCCTCACACGTACACACTCACACATCCACCACCCACACATCACACACACATATCTTTA